ATATATTTTTAATAATTTAAATATATTAAACGTATTTTTTGTTTCAATACTCAATTTATTCCTGTAATGGCAAAGCTGTATTTTCAGCAGCCATTACTCCAGTCTTCAGTGTAACATGATCCTTCAGAAATCATTCTAATATGCTGATGTGATTATTTGAATATATATTAGCACCACTGTTGATCAGTTGAATATATCTTTGTTGAATATATGTTTTAAAAAAACATCTTACTTTAAAACAGTAGTGTATATAAGTATTGATATATTTGTAGTTGTTGGAGTTGTGACACATGTTTGAGTTTAGTTTATCAGTCTAATAAAAAGGTATAATCCCAAAATATTCTGTTCTCTGCCAGGCTTTTGTTAACCTGGAACAGTCCCCACATTTATCATTCCTTCTCTTTGGCCCCCACATGACTGGAAACCTGATCCAACCTCACCATGTATTATTCATTATTTTAATACACTCAAAAAGCAAAGTGAAAAAGAAAACTGCAGTGTATCAGTAAGTAGGCAGTAAATATCAGTGGTAATTATGTCTCAGCCCTGAAGAGTTTGTTGATGTTTCTGGAACATTCCTTAGTAAATATGCTATTGTTTCGTTCCAGCAAAGCTTTTCTTCCTTCTGTTCAGATGTGGCTAAGATGGCATGATAATGCGTGCATGATCAGTATGCGTGATGACATGCAAGGAAACAGACAAAAACAGCTCTCAAATGGCATAAACGACTTCTCTGGTCTGTTTTTACAGAGTTGTTTTTCGGCTCTTTTGTTATGGGGCATACAACTCATTTCATTCACACTGACAGAAGGCTTTTATTGTGGTTCTTGGGGCACATGACAGAAAATTGTCTGCTAGGTTATGTAACCTTTAAAAACTTCTGTTGAATGATGTAATTTATGCATATGCATAGTTTAAAGTTGGCAAGTAATTCACCCTGTCTATTTTCTAAATGTTATTTATCATATTGATCTTACAATATATTCATATACATGTTCCAATTTTTGCATTTTTTTTTTATGTCACAATTGTTAATCGAAATGTCCTAAGTAACTTGATCTTCCGGTGAAACGATAGACTTTCCTCTGGTGACGTATGCTAAAGTTTTCGAAACATTTTGTATACAACAATCGACTGCAAGCTCGCATTCATATCTGTCTCCACCAGTCAACAACTAAAGAGAATATCTAGTCTCCACCCTATATTTTTTTGGGGTTGTGAATTTAAGTAATAGTCAAATAGTACAAATACAAGCTGTATTAACGACATCTGTATCAATAGCAATATATATTAATTTATGTTTAAAAAGTCTTATTCAGTAATCATAAATGACTGCAAAAGCATTTTTTGGTCTGTAGGACTGGGAACTCTGGTTTAGTCAGTGAAATGTGTGTAATTCATGGTGCTGTCTGTGCTATATAGTCTATTCAATCTCTACAGGAAGCCATGCCGGGATGCATCCATACAGTACTGCTGCTGGCCGACAGAGATCTGGCTCTACGTGTGGAGAAAACCACTTCTATACAGGTAACACACAAATATTACCCATCACCTGTAACATGCCCTGACTTTACAGCCACAGTAAAACTCAAACAATAACAGCAGAAGACAACATCTGTGTCATGTGCCACATGTGGTGAGGGCTGGTGGGATGGAAAATACAAACATAAATACAAGAATCTGGCTTTCAGCTAGCTAGTCTACACTCTCAGAGAAATAGATGACTTTTTTAAAGCACAAGTGTCTGTACTGAGACGCCTCTTGTGCCTGACACAAAACGGACTGACCAGAGATAGACTCTTGTAGCTATGTAGGAAAGTGCTTCAGTTGAGAATGTCACAACAGCTGGACAGATAGTGTAGCCTAGACATCTATCTAAGCTATTAGAACAGCCATTGTGGCATCTGAAGTGTTTATGATAGCACTGCAACCCATATATGGCCCCTTTAATGCAGAAGCTAAACCTGATGACTGTTGTGTTCTTTTGGCATCTGTCAGGTGGAGTTGTTGACATCGCTTAAGTCTCTCTATAAGCATGTTGACATCGCTCAACTCCCCACTGAGTTTGAAGGCACTTTCCCTTATTCCCACAGCAGCTGGATCTGTTTCAGAATGGTGAGAAAATCATCATCTTCATCATTCTTATGACTAAAGGCTGGAATACACTACATGTCTTGTTCGCTGAATCTGCTCAGTCAGAGGATATAAAACATGTTTGATATTTTTTGCCAGTTTTAGAACACATATTGTTTTCTGTATTTGTCATGCACCTCCTAAAACAGAGGCACATGTTTTGCATAACAACTTTCTGGTGTGTTAGGAATGGCTTGAAAGTCTGGTATTTAAATATTTTTTAATTTTGTATATTGTATTCCAGCCTTAATATGGATTAATACAGAACTAAGCCACAAGAGGCCATGCAGCCATAATATAATAAAAGTATTCAGTGGTTTAAATGTATTAATAATGATCAAAATAAATAGTTCCTCTGCCAAGTAGCTTATTTATATATTTAACATTTAACTTGAAACATTAAGATATAGGCTAATTAATTTGATGTGCAGCCACATATGATGTACAGCATCTGACAACAGTTTTTTTTATTAATCTGGAATTTTTTTTCTAATGGTTTCTTGTTCCTTCTGTTATATTTCAGAGGCTGGAGCAGCTGACCAGCCATTGTGAGGATGCTGTGAACCTGCTTCAGAACACCATCAGCAAACTGGAGTCTACAGTGCTGCCACCTACAGCAGAGGTACTGCAACAGTCAATACAATACTTTTCTAAAAGCAGCTCAGCTGAGCAGTCTCACAGAAAATGCTTTGTCCCAGCCCTGTCCAGAGGGAGAGTGCTATATATGCATATATTTTGGCAGACTCTTTTATCTAAAGCGACTTGCATTAAAGGTATACATTTTTGTCAGTTTTTGCATTCCCTGGGTACCGAACCTAAGGTGTTGCTATGCTTTTTTGTTTGAGGAATATATATTGTGGGCACTTTGTCTGTGATCCACTGTGATCTACCTCAGGAGGGCATCATCATGGCACTAAAATCTTCTATTCTGAGTCTGAGAGACTTCTATACTATTTCCATGAAGTAGAGCAGTGGCACTGGTGTCCGGTTACGGTGATTTAAAGGCTGTTCTATTTAGAAGAGATGTCTAGTTTTGAAAAATAGACTTCAGTTTGTGTGTGGTTGGGGTTAGTGTGTCTTTGACTGAGTTGACCTCTGGCTGTCAGTGGAGGTCACGAAGGACCTTTTTATCCACAGGCTTCTGGGGAAAATCAGGGCCTCAGGAGAAATAATGATCTCCCAGAGGGGTGTTTATCTGCAGCCATCTTTAAAATCACTTACCAAGGGTTTATTTGAAGAGTAGAATGGAGAGGCAGTGGTTGAGGGTATGGATTTCTGCTTGACTTTATCCTGAATGCTAAAACAGCCCCTCTTGTGGATGAAGTGATGCTTAGATGGTAAATGAATAGAAGACCAAAACAAGTCTCGGTCCGTCCTCTCATCTCTCGGCCATTTCTCCTTTCTCTTCTGTGTCCCTCCGTTAATCTGAACATGTGCCCTCTTCCTTCTGTCTGAGTTATTTTCTCCCTGTATTTTCACATAAACCTAACATACGTTCAGTTTTTCATCCATTTAATAGTTTATTATACAGTGTCTATGAAGAGTTTTAAAGCAGTACTGTAAACAAAAATGCAAATAGGCTTTAAAACAGAAACATCCACTGACATTTGTAATTCATGTAATTGCTCTACAGTTTCATCCCACTTCACACACAATAATTAGGGTGTAGACATAAGACAGTAATTATGAGCTTTTTATCACTTTGAGTAATTTTTCAAATTCACTTTAAAAAGGCTTTAGTTGAGGTTCCTGAGGTTATTTAGCATAATATAACCTTTTTTGTTAGCGCCTTATAGACTTGGCATAGTGTGGTCAGACCACCATCTGCATCATTGGGTAGGTATTATGGATGCTTTTCTGGGTGGTGGTCTGACTCATCCACCCCAAAAAAGTATTACACCACTTAACACTTTTTTTTAGATTTTAATTAAGCGTTTTGCTAATTTATGGCCCTTGTTTACTAACGAGAACCACTTTCAGAAGTGGTTTCAGTACATTTGTCAGGGAATTTTCAAAAACATAAATGTGTGCCAAGTAATGTGAACCATTTTAAACATTTTACACCTGAAAAGATAAAAAAAATTGTATCAGTAGTCAATACTTGTGATGGCTATGTTTAAAATCATGTACACTACCATTCAAAGTCATTACGGTTTTTTTTTTAAAAGAAAATATTACTTTATTCAGCAAGGATGCATTAAATTGATCAAAAGTGACAACGCAGTTTAAATTGTTATAATAAAATCTAATAAATACTGTTCTTTTGAACTTTCTATTCATTTAAAGAATCCTGAAAAAAATTTATCTTGGTTTCTACAAGAATATTAACCTGCACAACTGTTTTCAACATTGATAATAAGAAATAATAAGAAATGTTTCTCAAGCACCATGTTAGCATATTAAAAAATTATTTGTCATTTATTATGTGACGCTGAAGAATGGAGCTGCTGAAAATTCAGCTTTGCCATCGCAGGAATAAATTACATTTTAAAAAATATATATTTTCTTCTTTTGAATGGTAGTGTACACTCACAAAGGATGACTCCAGTCATATTAGTGGCCTAGAAAACCTGTTTGTTTTTTTTTCTACGTAGAGTGGGTCACCCCTTCATCGGGTCTGTCGTGTTGAAATCAGATGACCAGCCAACTCATGCTTATGTGATAAGCAACTTATGCTTATTGACAAATACACCTGTGTGCATTTCTTCATAATATTTTGGTAACTTTTGCTCTATCATTATGCTGTATCTACACCAAAGGGGATCAGTATATAAAGTGCAAGACAAGTGTTATATTGTTTAGAAAGACTATAAACACGCGCACACACACCCAAAGGTGTGGCAGTTATGTGTATTACACATTGTAATGTAGCTTAAGCTCATTTGATCACTTAATGAGTACAAACATGAGCTGGTATTAGATGAAGGAGGTGTAGATATCATTTAATGAATAATAATGCCTGTGTGCGTGAGAGTGTGTACAGGTAATGTGTGCTGCTCCAGGAACCTGCTCCAGGTATTACTCTCTATGTCGACGGAGTTTGTGAGACAGGGACATAATGATGGGGTGTGTGTACGTCCTGGAGAAGGGACAGATATTACTCAGTGTGAACAGTAGATAAGATGTGTATATGTAATAATAAGGTGTATGGGAATGTGTGGAGCTGTAGAGGAGTGTCTGTGTTTTATAGTAATGAATGTGTGTTTGTGCGTTTGCAGGAGGCACAGATCTTATTGTGTAAGTACAGAGAGTTGATGAGGACTGTTCTGGAGGACAGCAGGTTGGTGCGGCTACAGCTGGAGGGAGGAGCCGCTCTGTCCCGTTTGCGAAAAGAGGAGACCAGTGTCAGTCTGACAGAGGACTACAGGTGAGAAAATATCATCCAGACAACACCTTTAACCTACTGCACACATCACAAAAGTTAGGCAATTTAATTATGCTGTCAACAGGCAACATGTTGTGGTCAAAGGCAGCATGATATGTCCTTTGTAGAAAAGGCAATCCCAGAATACACTCTAGCAAGCTCACTGAAAAAATATATACATTAAATGCAAGAAGAATACTTATTATACAAGTACCAGTCAAAATTTTGTATGGGAGTCTCTTATGCTCATCAATGCTGCATTTATTTGATCAGAAATAGTAAAAAAAAGCAACAATAAAAAATAATAGAAAACAATAAAAAACAGTAATATTGTAAAGTAGTATTACAGTTAAAATTTTTTTTATTCCTGTGTTGGCAAAGTTGAATTTTCATTAACCATTACTTCTGTCCTCAGTGTTTCATTATCCTTCAGAAATCATTCTAGTATGCTGATTTTGTGCTCTAGAAACATTTCTTATCAACATTGAAAACAGTTTTCAGCTTTTTTTTTTCAGTTTTTTAATTTAATGCATCCTTACAGAACATTATTTAAAAAATAAGGTTTTTATAAAAGGAGTGACTGTAAATGACTGTTTTACATAAAGTTTGTATGTGATATGCATACTCATTATGAAAGTGATTTTCAAATATAGAAATCAATTGTTGATTCATGTGAGTTCCTGCCTATGTAGAACATTACAAATGAGTCACCAATGAAGTACCAGTAACGATGCAGCCTAAATAGGTTCACTAGGTTTCGGAACTAAATTGTACAATTATAAGAGACATGAGAATGACAAACAAGAGAGGGATAATGAGAGACAAAAAAAGTGTTGCGAGCGTGGGAGAGCATGTTCAGACCTCTGATGATCAGGGCTGGGTTCAGCTCGAGGTTGAGGGAGTGTGAATGTTATTTCCCACAGCTGGGCCAAGAGAAATGTCTTTATCTGCGCACACAATCATTCATCCTGAAACATACACACATAATCTCAGAGCTAAACAGACACCAGTATGCGCATGTGTCTGTCTCTGATAACATAGTATGGTTTGGATGCAGCAGAGCTCTGGTGCCGCTTCCTGTTTGACTTTGCATAAAACACACAGGCATGTCTGCACTGACTGACTGAAGCTCACTTTCAAAGCCTCCTGCTCAGACACTAACACTCGAGCTTGGTGTTTGCGAGGGTCTCTGCTGATAAAGACCCGGTGGGTCGCTCATTAATGGTTTGAATTTAGGTTTCCCACAATCTTCATCTACTTAATAAACATGCAAGGGGCAGGCATCTAAGCCAGCCTCTCTGGTTCTGTAACCTGATTTATTGTCGGCATTGTCATCTCCTTCCCTTTTGTGTCTTTCATATTAGGTGAAATTATAGTTTAAAGGCTGTGCATGTTCTTCAGGTTGCTCATTTGCTGTCTAACGAATGCCAAAATGAAACCTTAGCTGTCTGAGCTGCTCACACACAAGCGCATCACCTGGATGCTGACAGACACACAAAGGGCTCAATCTCACAGGTGTGACTGAGTCTAAAGTGCTTGACAATAGTGAACAAATCCGGCCCTTTTTTCTGTTGATGACACGGACTTCTTCCCTCACACATAATCCCTCTCAGTCTAGTCTTTTTAATGTTTCCTTTGGATCCTAAAGGTGAACTATGACCCCTTGCTTTTTTTACTGACTGGAATGATTACACTGTTACTCACCGGTGTTTCAAATATACATAAATAGGAACTTTTATCTTGTTTATTCCTCTTTTTTTCTTCTCTATAGTCCTTGTCAAACTGTATAATATATATATATATATATGTAGTATTAATAGTAATAAGAATAATAATCAAAATAATTGTCACCATTAATCCCTAATAAAAAAGTAGCATAATAATAATTATTATTAGAAACTATAACATTTAATTTATAATAATGATAATGAAGGCCTCTGATTTTTCATCCATCCATCCTTAGACTCTTATCTCTCTCACTCACTCTTTTGTCATTCTCTCTTGCTGGAATGTCTTTGATATGTCCTGCATGCTGTGATAACCCGTGTTTGCTCTGGGTGTGTGCTGTGAATAATTGGTGGGTTTTGGACTGATTCTGAGGTCACTGATTTGCCTTTCATTGTGTGTCATACTCAGATTGTTCCAACACTGAACTTGCGTTAACCAAAACCCTAAAGTTCACCCCAAATTAAATTCAATTATCATTTACTTTCCAAACTTTTTTAACTTTTCTTTTTCTGTGGATTTCATTTCGGTTGCAGCTCTTTTCCACACACTGATATTGAATAGAAACTAAGGCTGTCAAGCTCCAAACAAACAAACAAACTACCATGAAAATAACTTTATTTTAACATGCGAATATGCATTTATGTGTATCTAACAGCAGGGGGCACAGTTCAGTATGGCTGTGTTGTTGTGCATGTGCCACATGTCTGTCTGCATTACTAAGTCTTACTTGCTTTGAAGTATTTTGGCAGTCAAATGGGAATGTGGCATTCTTCAAAAATAGTTCTATATTCTAATATTGACATTGGTGTTATGTTTGGATCAGAGAGTGGATCACTCTTTGACTGAGTTAGTTGGCATATTGTTGAGGGGAAATGTTGTATAAATGTTTGACTAGAGCACAATACAGTATTATGTGAGTGAACTACAGCAGTGATGAAGTCATTCAGTAGATATCAGCCTCTGCTGCTGTGCACAGTGCGTTCTGTCAGTGTGTATCACAACGCTGCATTTTTAACACACACAATGCATTTTTACTCATATTTCTTCACAATTATGCATTTAAAGAAATACATATTTCCTCACTTACTGTTTGTAGAGTATCACGGTATACAGTCATTGACATAGTTGACATAGTTTCTCTCATTTATAGTCTTTTTCTTTTCTCATACAACACACACACACACACACACACACACAAACTCCAGCTCTGCTCCATACTGTCTCCCATTGCCAGACCATTCTGTAAAACCAACTTGCACATCTAATTACATTCACTAAATCTCTAAAAGCCTGGCCCAATCAATGGTTCTGTAAGGCTGTCTTAGCCAATGAGACGAGAGTTCTACAAGAGTGTCTCAGCCAATGAGATGTGAGTCCTGCAGTCAGTGTTTTCTTTAAGATCAGATGCTTGGAGTTTCTCTCAGGTATTAGAAACAAGCTCAAGACAATAAGTAGACTACATTTAATATGCTAAAGAGATCCTGTTGGTGTGTGTTTTAGAGATGCCATCGAGAGTGCAGGCTGTCTGTACAACCAAGTGGACGAGTTAGTTCACAGACTGGTGATGCTGTCCAACAAATGCACACAGGAACTGGAATTCATAATGGAGTTTAAGACTCTGGAGGAGGGATTCAGAGAGGTGAGGACTAAAGTTTTGCACTTGCTATTATGAACGTCTGAGACTCAGCAAATGTTACCTGTTCTTTAATGGGATCATTTCTTATATTTGCATTTTGATTTGTTTTCATACTTTATTATAAAAATCCTCTATAAATATACTTCTAAGTAGAGTTCTACTAAGTTAAAATTCAATTCTGAGACGAATGTACATTTTTAGTTAAACTTTTCACTTAAATTATGAAATTAAATCTATTTTTTGTTAGAAAGGACTCCAAAATAGAAGCATTTGCATGGATAGTCTGAGACGTTTGAATTCCATTTGGGCAGTTTTTGTCTTCAAGGCTTATTCTTAGCAGTGTTTTTGTAGTAAATTTAAACTTGAAAAATACTGAACACTGTACTGAAGTGCCACACACAAGCACACTGACTCACAAACAGCCTTACTAAGCTACACACTGACCTGGTGATTTATTCTTCTGATTGTTTTAATGGATGATTGTGCCCAGCAGGCAGAAAGAGGGGGAAAAAATCCTGTTGGCAAGGTTATAGTGGAAGCTGCTGAAACAGATTAGCCAAGCACACACGCACATTCATGCACATCATGAGAAAGTGTAATCTTGCACCATAGCATCTGTATCAGATGACAGACACGTGAAGGATGTGTTTGTGTGCTTATGTAACAGTCTACTGCCAAAGTCTACTGTCACAGAGAATAAAGAGCATAAATATGTGTCGTTCTGGGTGAAACTAAGAGAGTGCAGCTGGACTGTAGCAGAAATAACTGTTGTATGTATATGTTGTCTCTTAGGTGAGTCAGTGGATAGAAGAAGTGGGCGAGACTCGTCTGCAGACACTGAGTGAGCTGGAAGATTCCTTTGAGCAGTTACATCATAAACAGACTGTCTTCAGAGAATTTTACACAGCTGCATATGTATGTCAACTCTTATTAAACTTGTTTTACATAGCGCTTTTTACCCCCTGCCACAGCATCTGCATGTTGTTTCTTTTTCTTTCTTTTTTTTGCATAGTCCTCATATTTGCTCAACAAATGCCTTATGATGTTTTTATATGAACTGAGAGGTAATATTTTACAGCAGGTGTCAAACATTTGCTTTATTATGTCAACATGAGCTTCAAGAGCGTTTGTAACTGTTCAAATGTAGTCACCTCAGTCGCACCCTCTGTTTTCATACCAGCTCACTGTGTAATTCTGGGTGTGTGTGTGTGTGTGTTCAGGAGCACTGTAAGAGTGGTGAAGCTCTCCTTACGCGCTTAGAGAAGTGGGAAGACGTCTCTTCTGCAGAGCTGCAGGTGTACGAGGTGAAGATACGCTCATTCTGGGTCCATCTACATGATTTCTCCCAGCGAGTGGAGGAAACCAAGGATAAAATTGACAAGACTGTTAGACTCTACGAGTTTTTTGACAGGGTGAGTGGTCATTAGTTGCTCATAATATGAACTCCCCTGGAGTTCTCTGTCTTTCTGTTTTTACTTTTACTACTTAGGCTCACTTGTCATGCTACTGGTATTGAGTTTGAACACCCTGTAGCTGTATTCTCTGTAATTGTATTGTAGTGTGTGAAAAGTTGAGAAGTTTTAGAAGATTTTGAGATTTGTTAGAGATGATTTGTTAGAAATGTTGTTCTAAATGGTTTAGTATGGGGATAGTTCACCCAAGAATGATAATTCTGTCATCATTTACTCACCATCATGTCATTCCAAACCTGTATGACCGACTTTCTTCCGTGTTTTTTCCCCCTTCATACAATAAAAGTCACTGGGGTGCAATGTTGTTTGGACCCCATTTAGTTTTGAAATACCTTCTGTTGTGTTCAACATGACAAAGTAAGTCATACAAGTTTGGAATGTCAAGACGTTGAGGAAATGATGACAGAATTAACATTTTTCAGTGACCTATCCCTTTAATTATATATACTGGATTGTTTGAGGCTTTATTCGATTTAAATATTGGTTTGGTGGATAATAAGAGATTACTCAGTGTACCGGTACTGCTTTCTAATTATAAGGTGTGTGAATTGCTCAGAATTATTACCTTGATACATAAATACATAAATTTGTGGTCATTCTAACCTGTCCTATGTCTCACCCAGTGCAGTTCAGTCAGTTTAGATTAGATTGCCCCTGTGCGTTAGCTGTTTTCCATTTTTCAATGCATAGTTGTTTGGCCAGATATAGTTAATTATTTATAAACGTTTTGCTCTTCAGTTTCATATCATTGTCTTTTCATATGTTGTTCTTACAGGACACTTTCTTTTCTAATAAATGAATGTGGTTTCTGTTAATGTAATTTAGTTTAGTCTAAATGTAGTTTCCCTATAATCAAGTAGGCTTGGCGACCCCTGGTGGGAGTCATGACCCACAGGTTGTGAAACCTTGTCTTATTGAACACTATCTGTCCTCTAGATGACCTCAGATGGGTGCTGAAACAGTTTTTAATGAAAACTTTTTTTTCTATATTTTTCCCAAACAGTGATAAAAACTTTAGAATTAACAGAAAATTTGATATCAAAATTTTGGGTTGGATGTTCTAGGTAGTGTTAAGTGATGGAAATGGAGGACTTTTTCATGTATTTTTCCATCAGACTCTAGTTTCTCTGAAGAGAATACAGTGTTTCTAAAGCACCAGCTATTACGGAAATCCCTGACTGGCAGTGATGTCAGGCAAACAAACACATTCACACACACAAACACACACACAGGATTGTCTCTGTGATCAGACCATTGTGTTTTTCCTCTGCTGTGACACTGGGTGAGTGTTGAACGCTTCAGTCTGACTTCAGTGTTTCCCCCTGAGCCCCAGCGTGGACAGATGGTCCAGTTGGCTGACCGCTGTCAGATTTTATCATTAGCATAATCATAGTGCTCTTTCCTGACTCATCAGATCATCCATATATAGACCCCTTGCCCTGTTGGCATGGCGACCTCGTCCAAGCCCTGTCCTGCCGTCTGTTGGCATATTGACAAAAGTTGTTAGTGTATTTGTGTATTAATCAAAGCTTTTGATTGTATATAAATCAAAAGCTGGCTTAGTTTACATACGACTACCTGTTTCTAGATCAGTCTCTGACGGAGCACGCATTTATCCTCTTTAGTCTTCAGCACTGCAGAGTCTTTGTGTTGTTGTGTTAAGATTCGCGATGACACTTGTGGAACTCACTGGCGTCATCTGAATGGCGAACATGAATGCTTATTCACACCACCTGTCCTTTCACACCCATTCCTGGACATGTCATTTCATGCTTTTGATTAGACTCATGAATTGAACAACATTGGTGGTTGTGTATTCATTGTATAACAGTATACAGCAGTGGCGATCGGTGACGTTTTTAACTGGGTATGCTGAGTGATAAGACCACCCCCCCCCCCGCACATTTCCTACCTTATTTGTAAATTAAATTAATCTCCTATCCTTCTTCTGTCGTTTCAGGTTTATCCATTGTTATTCGAATGCAAGAAAAATATAGCTGGTTTTCCAAGTAAAACACGCTAAATAATGTTTACAGGTAGTTAAGTTATGATACGTAATCAGAGGGTGGGGAGATGGGGGGATTCCCCCGGTCTATATATCTATCTCTCTGCATCAACTAAATTATTTTTGTATTCACAGTGAATAGGAGTTAAAACTCCCACCTGTGTGACACTCCAATAACAGACCATGCAAAATACCCGAAAGTATTTAAAATATTGCAAAGTAACGTTGCAACCTTGCAAACAATAATAAAATCAGAGAAGGACTTCAAGCGACACGAGCATACGCAAAACAATATGTTTGTTATTATTAAAATGTTATATCGCCCACGTTTTTATAAACATTATTATTATTTTTTATTTACATTTTATATAGCCCACATTTTTATAAACATAATTTTTTTAAAATTTACCGCTTAGGCAATAATGTTGACAATAGCGTATATCTTCAACATACCAAAAATGTAAGTTGTTCAGTGGACTTTTAAAATTTGCTTTGCTTGAGAAAATAAAAATATACAGTTAGTGTTTTTTTCTTTTTCTTTTGATTTAGTCGAGTTGGTTTTGCATCAAACACAATGTAATTTTCGGCAATCGAGATCTGGCAGCAACAGCTCATTTTCCCGCTTGGGTGAGCGCTT